TGATTTTTAAACCTGTTTTCTATATCTTTCTAATACAGTGTCTCAGGATTATGAAGACTGTTTCAAAATATAGTCTTTGTATTGTCATTGATAATTGAGAAATGTATACAGACATGTTCTAAGAGCTGGGAGAGAAAATATCATTCATGAAGAACAATAAAGGGATAGTGGGAAACTTCCTTTAAAATTGTGCAGTGTTGCTTGCAGTTTTTTAATACGACTGTATTTGACATGTGTATTGCTTCCATACCTTTTTTCTTTTTGCTGTATGCCTCCCAGAGTCAGTTTTTGTGAGGAGAAATAATAAATAAAAGTTTCCTGTGTAAAGCAAAGTTATAGCAATAGCAATAGTGCTTAGACTTATATACATCTTCATAGTGCTTTACAGCACTCTCTAAGAAATTTACAGAGTCAGCATATTGCTTCCAACAATCTGGGTCCTCATTTTACTGAGTCAACCTTGTGCCGGTCAGAATCAAACTCCTGGCAATGGGCAGAGTTAGTCTGCAATACTGCATTCTAACCACTATGCCACCATGGCTACTTATACATATAAGCAATTAAAATATTTAATTGTTATAAATCCATTTCAGATTTGCCCTTTTCAGGTATGTCCTTTATTTTTTGCAAGAAAATATAGTCAGCGTAACTGTGTACCAGGTACTTACAAGGGTTACATTAAAAATCTCTCTGTTCCTTTCTCACATTTTTCCTCTATTATTGCATTTGTATTCCATCTTCCCCTAATAAAGTAACCTCTTCTATGCTCCTACCACCTAGATGATCCCAGATAAAATGCTCATGTGTAAATTTGCATATTGCCTTCAGCAAAAAAAATAGGGATAAGAATTAATGTGTTAAGCATTTGCAAAACAGGCAGCTAGATTCTGCCTTAAATTCTTCATTCAAAGGACCAAAGGTATTCAAACCCGCACAACAAGGTTTGTTCTAACCATTTGAAGAGGCATGACAGTTAAAAAAAACATTGTGCTATGGTTTATGGTTAGCTTCATAAATATCATAAGTAAAAATCAATAAACCACTTTATTCCTCAGTTCAATGTGTACATAAAATCAGAAAGTGCAATTCCAAGGCCACTTAATATGCTTTTGAATATCTTCTCTAAGCTGTAAATAAGATTGCTATTTCTTCCTACTGTATCAAAATGCACACTGCACACCATCAACAAGATAGGGATACAGAAAGCAGCCTCAAATGCATCACTAAATATATCACTAAGTCCATGCACTATGATGGACAAGTATTTCGTGTCAATCTCATGATACAAAGTCCTGTTGGAAAGCTCCATATTTCTGAACAGTCATATACAGATGGATTTCTTTTGCCAGGGATTTGGAAGGAGGTTTCTTTAAATAAAGACTAACTTTCATTTTTGGTTTAGTGAGCATTCAAGGAAAATAACCTTTTGATGCTTTTTGCTGAATTTTTCTGTTGTGAAATTTTATACATATGGACATACATGCACACACACATATCAAGTTGTTGCAGACTACACACTTTGTCTACATACATCCCCTGCTTGAGCTGGAGACATTGGTAGCCATTTGGGTTTCAGAAAAATCAAGATGGCAGTCACAGTCGCACAAAACCCTGGATCTTTTCTATTTGCATCACATGCACAAAAAAGTAAAAAACCACAGGGCTTAGTTTGCAGGCTCAAGGCCCCTGATGGAATGTCCAAACGAAACATACTTTGCAGGACAAATTTACTCTGCAGGCCCAAAGTAACAGAATGCCATAGGGGTTTATCACACTGTTGTAAGTTAGTACTTGGAAATGGCAACAGGTACTTACCTCATCATGTCCATTTCTGAAGAGCATTTTTAATGTCTTGGGTACTGGAAAGGTTAAAACAGGCCTTACTACACATTCCAACAGCATAGCCATATCAAAAGGAAAAGCTTTGTAGGCATTATCTGCAACATACATCATATTAAGCCATATTTTTTCTTATCTATGATTAGTATATATCACGAGTGTCAAACTCATGGCATCACTTTGCCATCATTCGCGATGTATTTCACATTCATGGAGCTGGGATGGGCGTGGCCTGCGCATCAGGCCCGTGGGCAGCCAGTTTGACATCCCTGGTATATGTGAATCAGGTCACAGTGAATTCCCAGCTCCTTTAAATGAGACTCATATCTTCAGATCTGACCAAGTTGCATTCAGGAAGCTATTAAGCCATTTTCACAGCTGTTGCCAAGGTAGGTCACTTGATAAGGATTCAGTGTTGTTTTAAATCACTCTCACTTAACAAGTAATTAGCACTCCTGGCACATTTGTTCATTAACTAAAATCTCATCAATACATTGCTGAGAAAAGCAATGAGGCGGGTTTGAGTGTAAGATGCAGACAGAAGATAGCATTCTGTTTGCCTATTAGGACATGACTGATAAAGAATTACACAGTAATTCAAGAGAAATTAGTCATGGCCATCTATTTATCGTAGTCCTCCTAGGTTTTTAATGTGCTAAATCCAAAACATCACAGGAAGGAGTTCTTTTTAAAATGAGACGAATGCTTATAGAATCATCTGCTGTCCACTATATAATCATGGACACCAGTGGGACTGTTTATGACATTCTACCTTAATTGTTCTTTTGTCAATTTTTCTTCTGAGATTCTCTTTCCTCTAAAGAATCCTTACCAGCAGCTTTGCTAGCATAAGCTAAATGTTAGCCATAAAATTCTAAGGATGCAAAGACTGCCAAGAGGGGCTTTATCTGATTCAAGTGACCTTTAAAATTTATTTTGCAGCTGTCAAAAAACATGTTAGGCGACGTATGAGATTCTCAGTGATTAGGAAAGGAAACTATCGAAAAATCTACTTGTTACATGTATCTACAGAACATGAAATGCATGCTCTCCTTCCCTCGTTTTGTTTAACAAAAGGAAGAAAAAAGAAAAGAATTTTAATAAGGAACTCCAGAGACAGTATCAAGAGCTATAAAAGATTCATATGAAGCCTATTGTTAAACATGAGAGTTCATTTAGAACCCTTAATAAGCCTCAGATAGAGATGCTAGAATCTGAATTTAGCCAGGTGAGATTCAACATTTTGGGTAATTCACATACACACAAGATAGCAGCTCTTCTGCATGCTTATGGAGAAGCTTAGATTTAATGGATCTCCTTGCTGTTGCTTTGTGGTTTTGTTGACATTACACTAGCATTTTATCCTGTTCTATAAAGGTTTAAAGGATTTGAAGGGTGTCAGGAATGAGAACAGCTTGGATGCTATTGAGAAGGTGCAAGTACTGGAATTTCTAATTGGCTCAATTGGTCTTTCATTCATTAAATTAAAAATGTAGCATCCATAAGTGTATAGATAGATGCAAATATCTGACTGATTTCCCAATCTCTACAGATTCAGAATTCCCTGAATGTTCCCTAATGTTTCCCTTGTAGGCATCATTAAGTTGATCCAATGTTTTGCAAGGGAACATGGGTAAGTCTTTAAGCATCCCAAACTAAGATTGATCAGGTAGCTAAAATATTCCAGGGCATGCGTACTTTTTAATGAGAGTTGTTCCTTATACCGCAAAGAAATTATGTTTCAGATTCATACCATTTGCAATGCACAACCAGCTATCTATACCACAGTTAAGTAGCAGGGAACCCTCTTGATCCATGCATCATTGCTGAATAAATATTGATTCTTACATCCCGGGGACTTTTTTAGATTTTTTTTATCCTGCCTTTATTACTTTTATAAGCAACTAAATATGATGAACATACCTAATATACTCCTCTCTCCTCCTATTATCCCCACGATAATACATTTGCAGTGCACTGTACTGTGCAGTGGGTTGTGCTGAGAAAGAGCAACTGGCACCACCCAGCCAGCTTTCATGCCTAAGGCAGAACTAGAATTCACAGTGACCTGGTTTCTAAGTTGGCATCTTAATCACTAGACCAAATTGGTTCTGGTTCTTCCCAAATTATTTAATTAGGTGCCATGGTCAAATTTGATTCCGGGTGACTATATGGATAAATACTACTCATCTTGGTGGAGCCTTGGTGGAGCAGCGGACTAAAGTGCTGTTAAGTAGCACTTAGCTGCCAGCTGCCTGCAATTACTGCGAGTTCAAATCTCACCAGGCTCAAGGTTGACTCAGCCTTCCATCCTTCCGAGGTAGGTAAAATAAGGACCCGGATTGTGGGGGCAATAAGCTGACTTTGTATATAAAAGAACACCTCTTGGGGGGGGGGGCTGAAAGCCCTACTAAGCAGGTATATACAAAAGTATGAAGGCTTTTGCTTAATGCATTGTAAGCCGCCCTGAGTCTCTGGAGAAGGGTGGCATATAAATCGAACCAATAAAGAAATAAATAAATCTTCAGCTGTCTTTGGTAATATCTTGGTTCTTCCAAGGATTTGTGCTTAATTTCTTTAATCCCATTCATCAAATCACTCCATTATTTTCTCCTATTCCCTCCAATTTATCAGTCCATGAAGTTCTTAGTAATGGGTTCCAAATCCATTACTTGAAGGCATCTTTTTGTTTTTTTCTTAGTATTTAGTTTTAATAGCCATACATACATTTTCCTGTGGAAATACCATTTAAGTGTTGTGATCTGTCATTTAATTGCCCTTATGTTTCATGATTTTGTCTAGGTTTTTCACTACCTTCTTCACAAGGATTAATCTCCTTTTTAGCAGAACATGGACCATTTTTATTCTTGAAAACCCCCCCCCCCAACAAAACCGTCTATTGTTTTCACTTTTTTTTGCTTAAAGTTTCCTAAATATGCAGGCCAACATTTATGTTGTCTTCTTAATAATATTTGAAATATGGCTTATAGAAGCTGTAAATAAATTGACATTTAATATTAAATTTATTAAGGTAAACTTTTTTTACTTTCAAAATAACTCTATAATTCAAAATGATTAAGTAAATCATTTCTACTTTTGGCTAACAATGATGTCATTTACATAACTCAAAATTGTTTTCTCATCTCCTATTTATATTCCAGGTGTCATCTCTCTGAATCTTACCAGTCTTATAATAAATCATTATAAGATTCCTGAGAAAAATAATCAGATGTTCTGACATTGCCATTAGCTTTAATGTGTCCCATTTTTTGGCCTGATTTACACAAAGTCTTGCTGTAATCTTGCTGAAAGGTAAACTTCCTTCTCATATTATCTTGTTCTATTATACATCTTGTATTAGTTATTTGATCTCATATCCCTTTACCTTTTCCAAAGCCTGTCTATTTGGCATTTTTTCCATATATGGTTCTGTTCTTATTTAAAAGTGTTTAAGCAAAGCACTGAGTATGTGAGGAATTAATGCATAAATTCAATATAAGTATACACACTCATCTTTCCTAATTTCTATGCTACATATTCTTGTTCAATATTTGTTGACCCAAACCTGTTACTGATATAATTACTTCTGCAACTTTACACAATTCAGTGAGAATTTTATCTGTACCAGAAGCTTGTAAATTTGACAGTAGGTCTATACCCTATAATATCTATTTTTAAAGAAAATTGACTCCTGAATGTATCCTTTCTCTAAATCCTAAAGCTAAATCCTTTAGCTCCTTTGTAGTTTTTACATGTGTTTGAATTGTATTTCTGAGTTGGGATATTTAATGTTTCTTCTTCATGCCTCTTATTCATGAACGTAACTACTAACTAACGTAACTACTAACCAACCAAGATAATTATTATATCTTCTGTTCATGTGTTTTTCTAGCATATTCTCCCATCTATTTTAACATTTGAACCCATCTCCCAACCACAATTTGCCTTCCAAGTCACTGTGATGAGAGGAAACAATGGTGATCCATTCCGATTTGAGGACAGACAAATCAAACACTTTTCCACCCTCCACCAGCGCCTCTCTTTTCTACCTTGATTTTTTAAACACACACAATTCAGAATACTAGCACTAACTTACAATATGAATAAACATGGATGGGATTGCCCAGTAAATTTCTTACCAACTTTTCCCATAATAAAGCCTTGGCAGTTCTTCAATTATGTCAACTCTTTCTTTCTAATCTCCTGCTCTGATGATGATGATTACTTTTTTAAAAAATTTAATTTATATGCCGCCCTTCTCTGGAGACTCAGGGCGTCTTACAATGCGTTAAGCAATAGCCTTCATACTTTTGTATATTTTTATACAAAGTCAGCTTATTGCCCCCACAATCTGGGTCCTCATTTTACCTACCTTAGAAAGGATGGAAGGCTGAGTCAACCTTGAGCCTGGTGAGATTTGAACTTGCAGTAATTGCAGGCAGCTGATGTTAATAACTGTTAATAACTCTGCTTTAGTCTGCCGCGCCACCAGGCTCTTAATCAACAGTCTAAAATCGTATACCATCTCAGTATCCAAAACAAACAAATCAAGAATTTTATCATCTGCTCAGTTGTAAACTCTGCGAAGGCAGCACAACACAGGGAGCCGAATGACTACTGCCATGACAGTAACTGGGGATTAAGTTGACGGCTTGTTAAAGAACAGTTGAAGAAATGTGGTGGTTTTTTTTCCATAAATTGTCAAAAAACTAGCTCTATGGGACTGATTAGTCTGAGTGGTGAATTTGCATCTCATTTGCACCAAGAGAGGAGACACACTGTTGTCTTCGTTTAGATCATTGTTTTTCAAACTTGGCAATGTATGGACTTCAACTCCCAGAATTTCCCAGCCAGCCTGAAGACCTGATTTTGCCAATGGATCTGGGGACCTCAGAATGGCTTATTTGATGATTGTCACAAGTGGAATGAGGAAGGAGTTATTGATATAGTCACTGAGACTATAGAAGTCGTATATATTTTCTTAAATAGATAAATATATACATTACTAGAGCTGTTTGGTATGTTTTAAAAAGAAAAGCAATGTTATCTCTGGTTTGCTACTCATAACATATGTGAATTTTTTAGTAAATAATAAGAGTGGAATGGAACCTGAAATATGAACCATTCAAGCTATCAGAAATTGACAGTTCAGTTGCTTGTATTGTCTGCTAATAGTTCAGTCTTTCTTTACAAGTCTTTAGATGGAACAACTTTAACAATTTCATTGTGTGAATGTTTGTTTTGTGCTAAACAAACAACGTTATCTTTTTGTTTCTTTAAAAAGAAAGATGTTTTATGTCTGAAAGAATGATTTAAAGATGAAGTGCTATGTCTTTAAGACCCCAACAAGCTATAAACTTTTAAAGCTCCAAGAATATACATCAAAAACTCTGTCAGGCAATTACCGACCTTAAGCTAAAACAGAGAGATATAAAAGGATTTTGAAGTATAAAGCAATCATTCACAGCTGATTAAGGAAAAGCCCAAGGCACATTAGCTTCATGGCTGAGTAAAACAGCTCCAATCATATATTCTAATAACTACAGTACAGATGGGTTGAGGGCTGGATATATACATCTTGTAAACTCATGCATCAACACAGATTTCCTTGCCTCCCACCTCCATTATGTTTCTTTAAATATATGTTTGAGAGGCTGCTGCTAAATACCATGGCACTGGGGAAGAGTGGGAAGCTGCAAGAAGAAGGTGATTAGTCCCATAGGAGCAGATTAGATGTTGAATGGCGGACTTCCAGAAGTGCACAGGAAGCAGTGGTTTGAGGGACATCTGTTGTTGTCTATATAGGACAGTGATGGCTAACCTATTTGCCATCGCGTGCCAGGAGCAGGGGGGTTGCGCGTTTGTGCCCATAGCCATAATTCTTTGCACCCTGCCCCCACATATGCGCATATGACCCCTCTGGACCCCTTTTTGGCCTCTGGAGGACCTCCAGGGAGGTGGGAAAAGCAGTTTTTGCCCTCCCCAGACTCCTAGAAAGCCTCTGGAGGCTAGGGACAGCAAAAAACGAGCCTTCCCCACCACCTCCCAAGGTCCTCCAGAGGCAGGTAACAGCCTGTTTCCCTACTTCTGAAGGGCCCAGAAGGCCCGAAAATCAGCTGGCCAGCGCACATATGTGCACCGGAGCTGAGCTCACATGCTCACCTATATGGCTACATGTGCCACCTGTGGCACACGTGCCATAGGTTCACCATCATGGATATAGGAGATCACAAGTAAGCCACAATTCAGCTTTTGGTTGAGTTTTCCTGAGATATTTATGTCCTGCAAAGCTCAGTCCAACATTCAAGCTAGCAGAAGTTGGGCCAATGGACCATAGTTCAAAAGTAGGCCGGGCACATTCTTTCCTCTTAATTCTCCCTTTAAAAAAAAAACACCAGTGTTGTTTCAAATTTTATTTCACAGTTGTCAATTTCTAAATTTTATTTAGGGGAGGCAGCAGACAAGGGCAAAATCCTCTCTGTCAACCTCCCCCCCCCCCCAAAGCAGTTACAACTTTGATCAATAAACTCTGAAACTCATTTTCAGTACTGTACTCCCTCTGCTGATAAAGAAAAGACTTCATGCTTTTCTTGCCCTTTTTTAAAAATATAAAGCAAGCAAAAAAGGTGAAGGACTAGACCTGTCATTTATTTTCCTTTCTTTGGAGTGAGGCTTAAGAGGCAACCTGGTTTCCTTAAGCCTTACAGCATCTTAAAGTAGCTGTTTCATTTGTTAAAATAACCCCCTCCCCAAATGTGGGGGGGGCAATTTCTTTCTATTCCTAAGAGGATCAGCAGACACTTTTCTCCAGCATATAGGACCCAATTTGCTTCTAAATACCCTTTTACAACCCATAGAAAGAAAAAAATTTCCATCCAGTCAGATGATTCAAAGATTACAGACAGAAGAGGAAGATGAAGTTTTATTATACATAAAACCTACATCTCTTTTTATTTGGCAAAATGTTAGTTTATATGCCATGGGGACCTGGTGCTGGATTCAGAAGTCTGGATCCATGGGTGAGTTTTACACCCCATACATTTGTATAAGATTTTCAAAAGAGCTGTGATGGTGCAGTTATTAGAATGCAATATTGTAGGCTAACTCTGCCTACAGTCTGGAGTTCAATCCTTATGGGCTCAAGGTTGACTCAGCCTTCCATCCTTTTGAGGTAGGTAAAATGAGGACCCGGATTGTGGGGGCAATAAGCTGACTTTGTATAAAAAAGAACACCACTTGGGGGGGACCGAAAGCCCTACTAAGCAGGTATATACAAAAGTATGAAGGCTATTGCTTAACACATTGTAAGCCACCCTGAGTCTCCGAAGAAGGCATATAAATCGAACCAATAAATAAATAAATAAATAAATAAATAAATAAATAAATAAATAAATAGGTAGTTCAGATCCACAAAGTTCTACATTCATCTTCTGAGAAGGAAACAGATAGGGTAATTATTTGAAAGAATAAATTTGGTATAGTTGTTAAGGCAGAGGTGTCAAACTCATGGCCTGTGGACCGGATGCGTCACACACTGGCCATGCCCACACCTGGTTTAGCGAAGTGGGAAAAAGTCATGATACTTCATGTGATGCCGCCGTGATGATACGAGTTTGACACCCCTGGGTTAAGGCATCAGGCTAGAAACTGGAAGACTGTAAGCTGTGGTCTGGCCTTACACATGAAACCAGTTGGGTGACCTTAGGCCAGTCATTTTCTGTCTGTCCTAGGAAAGAAGCAATAGCCACTTCTGAAAAACCTTGCCAAGAAAACTGCAGGGAAAACTCAGGCAGTCTCTGAGAATCGGACATGATTGACCAGAAGGGGGAAAACATATTTAAAAGGCCATTTGAGAATTCTTTGTAAGTTTCCCAAGTTACTTTTAGAGAAATGGATAGAGCTAGTAATTTTTAAAATAATATATTAATCTGTGTGCTGATTTTTAATGCTGTGTCTATCTCTATGATATAAAAAATCAGGCTTCCTACATATTTTATATTGCTGTACTTCATGTGTAACTCCTGTGTTGTGTAGGAATTTTGAGGTAAATTGTGGGCTGTATTCTCAGTTTCATCAGAGCATTGGTGAGCCTTGTTCAACATACAAATGGGCAGAAAAAAGCAGTAGCCTCGGGCAGCTGATTTTTTTGGTGATATGAAAAAGTAGCAAATCATTACATTTTAAATTCATGATTGTTTTAGTTTTATCACCAGGAAGGTCCAAGGAAAAATATTTTGTAAGTTTAACTGCCTTAGATGCTGACATAGCTTGATCGGTCTTGGGTACCATTCATTTGTGTTATACAAAATGTC